AAGAAAATTTTTATTTAATTATGGATTTTAAGTAAAAAAATCTACCTAACTGTAAAATTTCATCAAAAAATATTCATAAATAAAATTTTTATTGCAATTTGAAAAAATTGTATCTTCGCAAAAACTGAATAAAAAACATTTTTTAATTTTTTTTAAAAAAAGTATTCCGCGAATTTTTTAAGTGACAAATTAATTAGGGAAATCTCAACATCTTTTAGAAAATTTACATAGCACTATTATTTTCATCCATAAGGTTAACTCTTAAATTTGTTACATATATGGATGAAAATAATAGTGCTAGGTAAATTTTCTAAAAGATGTTTAGTTTTTCCTAATTAATTTGTCACTTAAAAAACATTAGGTAGGCATGTTATATATCAATGGAAAAGTAATTTTGTCTATTTTTCAAAACTGTATATAATTTTTGAAAATTAAAAAATTCGCGGAATACTTTAAAAAAAAAAAAAAATTAAAAATGTTTTTTATTCAGTTTTTGCGAAGATACAAATTTTTCAAATTGCAATAAAAATTTTATTTATGAATATTTTTTGATGAAATTTTACAGTTAGGTAGATTTTTTTACTTAAAATCCAAAATTAAATAAAAATTTAGAATTTTCTTATTAGAAATCCCGGAATTCCCAAAAAAGTTTTAAAAAATCCCAAAATGGGATTTTTTGGTTTTTTGCCTATTATATCCATACCAGGGGCGGGGTTATCGAAACCCGTTACAAAATGATTGAATTTTCCATAAAAAATAGGGTTTTTTTGGATGGACCTGGTTAGGTTTTGTTTCATTTATCGTACTTTATGTAAAGTCAGCTTTCCAAAAAGTATAAATTCTATATACATCTTCTTAGAAACTTTTTAGATAACTTAAAAAGAAAAAGATACTTTTTTCCAAAAAAAATTACAAAAATCGCCTTTTTTTATTTTTTAAATTAAAATGCCTATTACTTTGGACTCAGTCATGATTTTTACATAATTCTTTCACTGCTTGATATATAAACTTGTTGTTAAGCGAATAACAAAAATGGCGAAAATCGGGAATATTTGGACCCGCTACTATCAAAAAAACTAAAGTAAGGACGGTAAAAATTTTAAAATTTTAAGTTTCAAATGCGAATATCTCCTAAACTATAAGAGATAATTTACTGCTACGACAACATTTTTTATAGTGCTCGATGAGGAGATTCTATATACGAAATTTTTTTTAAATCGGAACTCAAATGAAGAAATAGGATCGTTTTAAAAATTTAACATAGCCGAGGTGTCCTAATTTGAGGACCCTCCGCCGGGCCCCTGGTTGGCCTATAAGGTCCAAATTCAAAACCTAAACTCGACAACACCTCCTCTTTGTGCATACCAAATTTCATTAAAATCGGATTAACCGCTTAGAAGTTACCGAATTATTTCCCTCTTTTTGTTTTCCTATACCACTGTGCAACCTCGAAAAAAATAAGCATTTTTTACACATTCTGATGTAATTTTCTCGAAAACTATGCAAGATAATTTCATGAAAGTCATCATACATTCGTTTCTACACAAGATATTCATTCTTGCTGAAAATTGCCAGTATCAGTCCATAATTTCATATACCTCCCATACAAAAGTACATATTCCCGGAAAATGAGTTTTTTGTTAATAACTTCCGTCAGAATGTTGATATCTTCACAAAATTTTACAAATCAAAATCTTATGTTAATAGAATTCATTGAGAGAAAAAATTTTCTGGGTCGGTCCATAATTGGTCATAGCTCCCATATAAGGTCCCCTCCCGATCACTTAAACACACATAACTCATTACTAAATTAAGATATCCATATAAAATTTGGTACAAGTATTTCTCATATGCACAGAAATATTACTGTGAAATTTTTTTCCGATCGGTCCATAAATGGTCATAGCTCCCATACAAGGTCCCCTCCCGAAAATCACTTAAACACACATAACTCATTACTGAATTAAAATATCCATATAAAGTTTGTCACATGTTTTGCTCTCACATATACAAATATTACTACGAAATTTTTTTCCGATCGGTCCATAATTGGTCATAGCTCCGTACAAGGTCCAATCCCGAAAATCATTAAACAGACATAACTCATTACTAAATTAAAATATCCATATGAAGTTTGGTACAAGTATTGCTCTTACATATAGAAATATTACTATGGAATTTTTTTCCGATCGGTCCATAATTGGCTATTGATACAAAATTTGGCACAAATATTAGTTTTGTTTAAAAAATTCTATTTCAAGATTTTTTCACGATCGGTTCATAACATAGGTTCCCTTCAGAAAATCACTTGAACACACATTACTTATTACTAAATTACGATATAGATACAAAATTTGACTGAAATATAGCTTTTATGTACAGAAATTTAGCTTAAAGAATTTTTTACGATCGGTCTATAATTGGTCATATCTCCCATACTAGGTCCTGCCCCAAAAAGCAATTTAACCGTATTTAACTAGTTGCATTATCAATTTATGTAGAACAAAATTATATATGTATTTGGAAATCCTTAAATCTTTCACACACATGCATACATGCACATTATTAAATATATATAAGCATATATTAGGGCGCTATAAAAATATAAAAGAAAATGGGGTTTGTAATGTTCAATAAATCTTGGAATTGTAACAGATTTAAGCTGTTTAAATCTTGGGGTTTTTCTATTTAAGACATGAGAAAACTTATTTATTTTATTTGATCAATTAGAAAAGTATTAATATAAAAGTAGCTGGTGGAGGGTATTTAAGATTCAGCCGAATATAGCATTCTAACTTGTTTTAATATGAGAAATGCCACGACCACTAAACCCAGTTAGACCATTTTGTCCCTAAATGGATGTCAAAGTTGTAGATACAAAATTTGAGGACTCTATCTGCCGCAGTTTCTGAAATGAACGACTTTTAACAGTTACTTTGTATGAGAACAAATTGCCATTGCCTACTTGAAATATCAAAATAAAAAGGAGCCTATAGTTTCTTCCAGATACACAGAAGGATACTGTGAAAATTTCAAGAAAATCGGTCTGGCCGCTTAGGTGCATATAAATTTCAAACAAGCAAATAAACTCAAATTAATTTGTATGTAGATGTATGACGAATACGATCCCTATTTCATTCTTAACTTCAATATAAGTCCCGCTTATGGAAATGACTTTAACGTTTATAACAGTCTTATAAATATCTGGATGGAATACGACATTTTATGATGAACGACCACATTTGATCCTAGCCACCATCTAAAGTCCCCTTTAGAGTCGCTTTCGAATTCTTAAGAGTTCGGCACAATATTGGTCAAGCTTCCATAAAAGGAAAGCGCACAGATTATTGTGGCTGCAGCAGACGCCGGGAAAGCTTATACTATGAAACCTGAATATTTCCGAGAAGTTTATTAATTAACACAGGCCAACAAAATTTAAATGCAGTAAAATAAAAATCCAGAGATTTTCTAAGGTCTGAACCTGAATCTGTCCTCAGAATTTCTTCATCACATCATCATCATTATTGTGGCAGCAGCAGTTGACTCCACGGAATTTTATACTGTGTGTCCTGAACACTTCCGAGATATTTATTGAATAATACAGGCCAACAAAATTTGAAAGAAGTAAAAATCCAGAAATCAAAGCATACTTTTGTAAGGGTTGAACCCGAATCTTGCCTCAGGATTTCTCTATCACTTTAGGTTAAGATATCTTGAAAGACAATAAGATATAACAAAGATAAAACCTTTATATTAAAGTCGCAGATTGTACTTTTAGATGACAAAACAGATTTTATAAATAAATTTGTCTTGGCGCTATTAGAATTTCTCAAATATGGTTAAAAACGTAGTTATGGCCCATCGGCAGTATAATTTTTACTTTTATAAAAAGATACTTATGTAAATATTTAACAAAATTATGATCTCCTATGCCATATTCAGGGGATCCCGTTGTAAGGGCGCAGTGTGAAATAATGGACCGAATTCAATCAAATTCAATATGTATTATGGCATAATCGAATCAGAAAATGATTATAATTTGTAGTAATAATTTTCGGAAATTACAAAAAATATTCCTGGAAATTCTTGGGATTAGTTTCACACCAAGAAACTCTAGTTCATATGAAATTGTGAATATTTATTTATAATAAAAACCACGGTAAAAATATCATGATAAAAACTATTCAATGGCGCTGAAAAACTGGCGGTATATATTGCCATAAGTACAACCCAATTTTATCAATGATCATAAAAACGATCACAAAAACGTCACAACATGTAACAACGTTGTGACGGAAGTTATGTAATACTAATCTGACCAACTGATTATTTCTGCACGTTTATTAAACACTGGCTTTGCTTAAAAAGAACGTCTGCCAACAAATCTCTGATCAAAACTAGAAAAATGTCTGAAGCTCCCACACAATATGAAAAAAAATCAATTAAGTAAAAAATCAACTTAAAATAATATTCAATTGAACACTTCTCCAGGTGAAATGTGCCAATGAATGTAAATGTTATAATCAATCATGCAGTTTCTAATAATATCTATTGAAGAGGGGTTGTGCAACGAGCATTTATACTGATCTCTTAATTTGCAATTGGCAACATGACAATAATGTATCTCAAACAATCGTACGTGTTAAATGACTAAACTTCCGTTCTTAATTGTTGATCTACAATACGCCGCTATATTTTCGCATTTTTCGTTGATGAACTTTTAATAGAAGAAAAAAACACAGCAAAATAATGCAAACAGCCAAACGTATTCGTTATAAAAAGTCTGTATTGGCCATAAGCTTAACTTAGAATAGTGCGGCTGACGTCTTGTTAACAACTCTGTACAACAACTACTACAACCGTCACCTCAATTACCGTGACCACGACCACTACCACCTTTTAGTTTATTGTCATACTCTATTAACTTAATTGGTAACTAATTAAATAATTGCAAGTTCATTAAATTTTAAAAATTTCATGCAGTTTTTGGAACGTGCAAAATGCAATTGAAGGTGAGTTTTAGTTTGATAACATCTTGAAGAGGAATGTAAGAGATTTAATTATGTTTTTGTGTACTTTAAACAGATTACTGCGCATTTAATATTCTTCACTTGCTTGGTATCATCTCTGAGAGGTAAAGCATTGCATCCCAAAGGATGTTACGAGTGCGAAGAAGAAGTATGGGAAGAAGTTCCTTGTGCTGATATACCATCGAATAGTACAACTGTATCGACTCCCTATTACTCTACAACACCTATTTACAAACCACCCACACCAAGTCCAAAACCTCCTACGACCAAACCAACTACGGTCAAACCCACAACTAAAAAATATACAACGACCACACGTGCGCCACCCACTTATGCACCTTATCCCACTACAGTAAGTCCAGAATATACCACACCCCAAAGATCCATACAAAAAATGTTACTGTGAGTGTAAACTTGGTTGCAAGGAATTCTGTCGAAAAGTCGTTATCAATTCTCCTGACAAACAAATCGTTCAGGTATCAAAAATATCAGAACCAGTGGAAAAGGGTCGCATTGAGTCTACACACTTTCTACAGCGAGAACTTATACCTAAAGCAGATCATAGTTTATGATAAACCCGATGATTATGCACCATCTTATGATGACGATGATGATGATCAAGATAACAAGTATGATGAACCAACAACCTCCATCTATACCTTTGCCCACCATACCGAATTATGAAGAAGGACCTTGATCCAGCTGTTTATGCAGCTTATCATAGTAGCCCAATGTTCCTGCTATCGAATACTATTCGAAACCAATAGCTCATCCTATTGCACCCATATATCATGGTCCATATGCAACAGCTGAAGCGGGTGTAAATAACTTTCATTCTTATGCCTCATATCCACCCAAGCCTTCACATGCTTCGTACTATAGTCCTCCAAGTGCTGGCAGTTATAAATTTCCCCATTCCCTTGGAAAACGTTTTTTCCAAGGTTACAAAAACTCTACTTGATCCTGTAGAAAGAGTACAAATCTCACTAGACGCCTCCGGTAGGAAAATTGCAGGTAATACTTATTCCAAGTGTCCCAGCTATTCAACACCCTCGTATTCATCACCAACGCCAGCGAAGGATTCCAACTAGAAACTAGAAACGATCTCGATTCGATGATTCATTCGATTCACTTATTAAGGAGTTCTTAAGAAGTAATCCTTCAGATGAAGCGTCATATCAAGCATTTCCACAAACCTTTCTACTCAGTGTCGTACAGTAGATAATAAATTGTTATATTATCTTCGTTAGTTTAATAAATTAATATTTAGTTTTAAGTTTATGACGAAGGAGCAGATGCTATGCATTGTTCAGTTATGATAAGATTTGTTATTAAAGTTTTTTATATACCTCTATACTTTGTTTTCGGCAATTTTTCTTGGTAATAATGGGTTAAGGGTAAAAATATCGTATAATTTCGTATAATTTTATATTTGGAGGCCTACCTGCTTAGCACAATTAAGGACAGAACAACCACCAGTCGAGTGCTTAACGAGAACACCAGCCTTGACATCCTTATTTCAGCGGAGGACTTTTTCAACTACTATATGAACTTGGGACGGTTCACCACGCTCCTGAGCAGCTTCTTGCCAAGTGATCACGTTGCGGAAAGAAGGTAGCAAGCTTCCCCGAGGCTGAAAAGTACAAGACGAATCGAAAGAGAGGGGTCAACGAAGACCCCAAAATCGCACCCATTGAATCTATAATCTTGGGATCAACATCGAGATAGATCAATATATGCACAGCCATGAGCGACGCCGTGGCGTCCCCATCCTCTAACGATCCACACAGGTAGTATTAACAACCATTAGTCGTGCAACCACATCACGAGGCTCTGTTACTTCGGCAACAGCTCCTAGGAACAAACTGGCAGAACGAATCACAGATTTTATCACCAAACCGTTCAAAAACCATCAATCATACATCACCCATCTTCTCCAACAATTCCGACACTCCCATCTCTTCCGACATTTCCGTCTCTTCCGACACTTCCATCTCTTCCGACACTTTCATCTCTTCCATCAGATACATCATATCCAAGAGTCAACACAACATTTTAATGATCAATCATTGCATTATCAGCTCATTCCCAACATTTTATTCCACAGACTATCTTGTGGTTTGTACCGCTCTTAACGACGATAACAGAAACTTATCTTGAAAATATATTACTTCAGCGTGAATCAGACCAATCTAACTGTACCTTCCCGCGAATTTGGCTATAAACCACAGCCACTACGTGGATCCCGAAGGAACCTCAACCAACTGACCAGACAGGACAAAGTCCTGCGGACAACAGTCTAACCGTAGTACCAGATTATTTGGATCTCTGGTTAGACCCCATCTCAAATCATTCCAAGGAAATGCTGAGGATACATTTGGTCATCACCAGTTTATAGTCCCGGCAGACTAGAGATATTGGTAGCACCTCCTTTCCCCGGGATATTACAATAACACCAAGGTGGAGATTTCACCATGACCCCGGGGGAGAATATAGATGCAGTCGGATATAATTATGATTACAAACTTGATAGCACAGGAGAAAAACACACAATCGAACTCTCTGATGGGAAAATTGGCATAATTAAAAGTAGAATGTAATAACCTTAACATATCTATTATCGGTATCAGTGAAATGAGAAGGAATGGTAGCAGCAATTTTACGACCTCTCAAGGTAACCGAATCATATATTATGATCACGCAACAGATAAGATGAGAGAGCACTGCGACCCTGTTTGAAACTAAATGGCGAACTGTTTCTCGGATTATGAGTAGATTACGATCATGCTATAGGCGACTTATATTTCCCACGTAAAACGCACCACAAGTTAGCAAAGGAATCAAATATACAAAGTCAAAAATTTATTTAATTATAAGTTTGCTGACACTGCACGTTGGACACTATAAATTTTGTGTACTCATAAGAAGATTTAAAATACCTCACATGACTACTGTATAAGCTGTGTATACCCGAGGGGATGGATCTTAAT